TGCGGCGCCCTAGTGAGTAGGGGTCACGGCGTGCCGCCTGGCCCTTCTGCTTGAGGATGGCCCTCCTCACGCCTCACGCTGTCTTCTCCACCCTCTCTCCAGGGAGGCTCCGGCAGCCATATGTGGAGTCCACTGTGAATTTCAGCCCAGAACCAAGGACGGAGCTGGTGTTCCCTTTAACTACTGGTTGAATGTACAAGGGACGTCCCGCCTAGGACTTGGGGGCTCTCTTTTCTGGAGTGTTCTAACATCCTGATCCATTGCAAACACCTTTAGCACCTCTTTCTCGCCTGTGCTTCCGCTTGTGGAAACCATTCATTTATCTCGGAGCTGCTTTTCTAGTAAGGAATAAAAATGAAGCACTAACTCCTGCACTTACAAAGGAATCGGAACCACGCAGATTTTTCCCAGGTCTAGATCTGATGACGACTGACCTATCTGAAAAAGAAACGGTAAAAAATGTTTTCTTTCCTCCACCGGTAAGGTGATCCAGAAACAAAAGAGACTGTTAACCTAACCTAACCTAACCTAACCTAAATGGTTACTATTTGCTAGCCTAACTATTTGCTATGGGCTGTTAAAAAAAATAATTGGAATTCAGAAATCATTCAGCCGTTTAAAACCAGATGAATCACCAAAGCTCTGATTTTCTGAGACTGCTTCTATGCTACAATTACTACCCAACTCTTACGTTTTTATTGTCATGCCATTTATCAAGGGACCCTATACCTTTTCTACAGGAATATATGAGTGCCTCAAAGTGACAAAACATTTATACAGAAAGGATGAAACCATAATTTTTTTAAAAAATATTTGGTTAGGGGAGCCTGGATGGCTCAGTTGGTTGAGTGTCTGATTCTTGATTTTGGCTCAGCACATGATCCCAGGGTCGTGGGATTGAGCCCTGAGTCGGGCTCCCCCCTGAGCGTGGAGCCTGCTTAAGATTCTCTCTCTCTCTCTGTCTCTCTCTCTCTCTCTCTCTTTGCCCCTCTCCCCCCTCTAAAACAAAGTATTTGGTAGTATACTAAAATATATGTGGGGATTAAGAGAATGGAGAGATCAATATGGATAGAAGTTATCAGCAAAGTCTTAGAGGAGGTAACATTTACGATGTGCCACAGGAAGCAGAGATGTTGAACTGTGTCCCAGAACGAAGGAAGGGCTAATATGGATGTGGAGAGAAGATGGAAGACGGGGTTTCCTACTGTGCAAAAATCCCCCTGCACATGTTTAATTGATGAAGCAGGGACTTATAGAAGCCATTGAAAAAGAAAATTCAAGAACATCTGGACCAAAGTAGCTATTCTAGATGAGACTGTTTACATTTTTAAATGTTCTGATAGGAATGACAACATGTGATACACATGCACCCCCTATCTTAGACCCTCTTTATGTAGCTCATATGGAAAAACCTGTGTTCCCCAGAAAATTTTCCCAGAATAGGGGTTTTTATTTATATCTCTGATGCTTCATACAACATGACTATTGTCATTTGTACTTGAGACTGGAGTCGAATTAGGAATCCTGGCTTCTAGCTCTGGCTCAGTCACAGCTGGTATTGTAATTTGGGGTAAGTCACTTCATCCTTCAAGCCTTTGTTTACCTCATCTATACAATAAGGGGGTTGAATTAGGCAATTTCTCTGGCTTCACTTGGTGCCAATGTTTTATGACTCGTGAGTCCAAGCTTTTTATTAGAAATCGTGGCAATAACTGTATACTTGCAATTTACTAGTCATCCACAGCATACATAAAAATACAGAATCCTTCGTAAAATCCATAAACACCTTGGAAGAGAAATATTGATTTTGAGACAAATTCGTCCGTGTCCTCTGTGGTTATTCTGCAGCGTGGTGACTCCTACCCACTTCAGAATTTCGAAACGGGAAATGCTTCCCAAAGTCCAATCGGACATCAGTATCCTTGGGCAGCAAAGGGTATCAAAATCAACTTTCGAAGCAACTGGCTTTACGAGAAAGATGATTTACCTGCAGTGATAAAAATACACTGCATTCTCTCCCCTCTACTTAACCGGAGTCCGGAGTCTGGTAAAAGAGCTTATCACAGGCCCTTCAGATGCCCCACATTTGTGAACCTCTGCAATGTTTACGTTTCCTCTCGTGCTGCCCGCGAGACCGTGTTGGGTCCTGTCTTCGGTGTTCTTGGACGAAAACGGGGAGCGTGCAGCTTGTGGATAGTGAGCAAAGACAGACGAGCCAAGGACTGCCGCTCAAGCTGTCTCTGTTGCCCACTCAGTGTCTCTTTCCATTATCCTTGCACTTTGAAGGACGTTTGCCAGATCCAGAGTCCGTGGACCCCTGTTATTTGTGTGTCTTTTCTCACCTTGCACGTGATCTGGACTGGTGTTTTCATTTGTTAAAAACAACAAGAACATTCACTGGGAAACTTTTGCTGGAATTGTTTCAGGCCATCATAGCTATTTATTCTGTGTCACAAACTATAATTCTCCACTTCCCTTACTCCCACGTCGGGGGAGCTGGTGGTTTATGGTGGACAGTCGGTGGAATTTGAGTGAACAGTGGCCGATTTCAAAGAACTACCAAGAGATTATGTAGCAGGTTGTAGTACTAAGAACAAAACGCAAAATACCCTTGTTCTTGATCAGAGTGTGGCAGCACAAAAAGAAAAGGCTTACAAAGCAGAAGAAAGGATTTAGAATTTGTGGTTATACCTGAGGAAGACTTCTCTGAGGGAAGAAATAGATCATAGGATTGGCTTAAGAAGGGATTTCCTTGATAGGAATAAGAATAATAGCCGAGGGTCTAATTGGTCTCAGTCCTGGGCAGGTATGGAAACTAAGGATATTTTTTCCCCCAGACTTTGGCTTCGTAGGAGCATGAAATCCAGATGGTGGCACTGTGAAAAAGGCCTAGGCGACCCAGAGAGACCTGAAGTGCAAGACAGATCAAACCGTAGACAAAGAGATTTGGGAAAGAGAATGAGACCAACAGGAAAGCCTCCCAATATTTAATAGGAAGGAGCACACAGATGTGAGGCAGCCGCTGAGAGCGGTTTGACCCCAAGTGTGTGAATTCTAGTGTAGATGTAATTGCAAATGGATTTTGCTGGTAGCCGAACAGGATGCTGGGTGGAATGTTCCCGGCCTTGATAGATCCCAGAGATCACGATAGATTGGCTTCATTCTCAAGATGCCACTGGTCTGACATTCTTATTGAAAATGTCACAGCAGCATCTTCAAAGCAGGGCTCCTGGCTGGGGTACCACGAATGGAAGAAACCAGGGAGGTGGTCAACTGTGAATCACAACCCCGAAGGTGACAGAATGGGTGTCGGCACCTGTTCGCTGGAAGAATGGGATTGGGATCATGTGGTTTCTTTCAACAGTAACAGTTTTCTAAAGACAAGAAAAGTTTCACATTTTCCTTGAAAACAAATGCAACAAGTACTTACTCTGTCCGGGTGCTTTAAATATCCGGGGGAAATGCACAGTCTCTACCCCAAGTATCTATTCTGGGAAGGCAGCACTCATGAAAACTCTGATCAAAACCACTTAGAGGCCTCAGTTGTCAGGCGCTCAGAGATCCGGGCCAGGAGCTCTTGGATTCAAGCTATGCTTTGAATGCACACCCAAATCTAGATAATGCTATAGCTCAGGTAGGCATCATTTTTCTTTGGGACATCATGATTCATGCTGGTCCCTTTCTTGAGTGGGTTGTATGTTTATGGTCAGAGAGGATCAGGATTTCCAACCTCACATGTTGGAAATAAAACTGGCTGAGAGCTAATCTCTACTGAACGTGGAGCAAGTGCCCAAGCCCTACTTTCCCATTCATTCCTGGTTTTCTTTGGGCCGAGACTCTTAGGGGAAGACCATTGGAAGTGTGAGTCCAGTTCCTCAGGCAGAGCGTGCGTCTTAGGCCTCAGCACCTCTGAGAACTACATGGCCTTTACCGTGGTTTGGACCTCACCTGGATGGTGGTCATGGTAGCACAACAGGTGTTCCGCTTGGATTCACACATCCGTCATTCCTGCTTGGACTGTGTCAGGTGGCAGGATGGGAGCATGCTACCCTCTTACTTCCAAGAGCATCCCGGGTGATGAGTTGGCCAAGGTGCCTTTGGGAGAACTCAGCGGAAAACAAGGCAGGGGGGATCTTGACGGGTGAAAAATTGGGGTCCCGATTCTCCAAAGGTTCCTAAGATCTCAGGGCCCTAGAACTCCAGTTTGGGGTGAAACTGTTTCAGAGATCTTTCAGTACTCTTCCCCGTGCTTGCGTTCTCCTAGGGCACGTCCCAAGCCGATGCTGGCTTTGGTTGATGGTGTTGGGGCACCATCCTTGAACTAGGCTGAGGCCTCCCTAGCCAGCCTTAGCGAGAGCAGATGCAGTCAGAAATGACTTGAGGTTTCTGGGAGAATGCGTGGTAAAACAGGAATTATCCTAATCAGTTTGAACACATTTTTTCCCTCCGTAACTCTGCATTTGTGTTTGTGTGGGTATGTTGAGGAGAAGGAACCAGGGAATAGTTGGTTTCCTTGGTTGTGAAATTGTATGAATGAACATAATATAAGGCAAATAAGGTCCAAAGCAATCCACCCTTCTTCCCTCATCTCTAGAGAAGTCTAGGGATCATGGGTAGGAGTAAGATTTTCCTTTAGCCATCTTTGACAGAATAGGGTTGGAGGAACGTGCAAGAAATGTCTCCCTGTCGGTTCGGGTCTGGTCCCAGATTTAGAAGCAACAGCCAAACATCAGAACTCCCTGGGGGTCGTCGGCTTGTGAACTCAAGAGCGCCGATGCCCGAATCTGCCCCCTGAAAGTGGCATTTGGTTCCAACACTTTGATAAGAATGTGAGCGAATGTGATGATCCCTTACCATAGATATTCAGCCAGAGTGTACCTGGGGACTCCGACATGACTTTAGCTCCTTAGCATCAATTTCTTCTGCTCCAGATGACCAGCTGAACTCCGAGGAAAAGAAGAAGAGAAAGCAACGGAGGAACCGGACGACCTTCAACAGCAGCCAGCTGCAGGCTCTGGAGCGCGTCTTTGAGCGGACACACTACCCAGACGCCTTTGTGCGAGAGGACCTCGCCCGCCGGGTGAACCTCACCGAGGCCAGAGTGCAGGTAACCAAAGTACCACCTCAGGGGCACACCTCTGCAGACTGCTCGAAAACACGGGTCGTTGGTTTCAAACAGGGGCTGCTGCTGAGAAAGATGATAAAGGGGCAGCACAAGGCAGAATCGGATCCGAGCTGCGTTTCTTTGGGCAGCTTAGTATTTTTAAAAATCAGATGTAAGCCCTTAGGTGGGCAGAATATGCCTCGCTACAGCTCTGACTTCTCACTCCTTGTTGCCCGCCCTTTCAGATTCATGGTATGAACGTTGTACTTCGGAGCATTTGACTTGGCCCTCCCCCCCCACCCCCCCACCCCCCAGCTTTCAATTTGAGCTCTAGGGTGGCCACGGAGATGAATTCTCCGTTCCCCAAGTCAGTTTTCCTTCCCAGACTTTGGGAACATACAAACCTTCAAGAGACGTATTACAAATATACACGCTTATGGACCCTGGTGGCAGTAGAAATGAGCCCATCAGAGACCTTGCGTTTAGGAAGTGCGTTAAGAGCACGTTCCGGTAGATGATTCTGTGCTTCTGTGAAGCGATGAAGAGCAAAGGCACGTAAGACCGCGTAGAGAGAGAACAGCAATTCTTTCTGACATTAATGCCATGACACATCAACTGCAATCCAGGCATCTAGAAATAACACAACCTGGGATTAGTACTAATGAAGGTAATAATGTAATAATAACACTACTTGAACCCTTATAGGCCGAGTAGTGTTCTAAGTCCTTTATATAAACTGTCTGTTTAATCGTCCTGCTAGTTCAATGAGGTGGATAGTATTCTTCACCTTGCAGACGTGGAAACTGAGACACAGACAGGTTACACTATTTTGCCGGGCCTCACGCAGTTAGGGCATAGCTAAGCTCGGATTTGAGTGCAGATATGCAGAGTTCATGCTTTTAAGCATGGAGTCGACTTTGAATAAATAAGAGTCTGCTGGCTAAGTGCTTTTCCAGGGGCCCTTTGCTACCTCTGCTGGAAGTAAAGATCTCATTGTCCTCTGCCTAGCCGGGGGTGGGCCGCCATCTTGGTAAGAGTGGAAGGGGACCAGGCCAATCTGTCTTGTCTTCTTGAGGAAGTTATTGTTTGTATATTTGTGTTCAGTTTGGGCTTGAGGGATTCCCTTCTGCAGATGACAGATCTCTTGACTGACAGGCGCTTGAGCTAGACCCTCAGGGCGTTGAGGCTGTGTCTATGCCTTGACAGGAAGTGTACCGTGAGGGACACCAGTTGAGTTGACAGAGAGGGTCCTGGAGGTCCCTTCAGCCTGGCGAGAAACTTTGCAAGAGTTCTCCCCATAGGGACGCATCCTCCTCACCTAGAAGTGCTCCCCAGGAGAACAAAAAGAGGTCGGCCACCAAAGGGGAAGTGGCCCAGACCCCATGGCGCCACGTGGGTCAGGAGAAAGCGTGAGGCACTGGGCACTGCGTGACAATCCCTCACGGCTCGGGTGAGAGAGACCGGCAGGATGTGTAGGGACGGGACTCGGTTTTGCTGCCTGGATCCCACCATCCAAAGCGAAATCCTGAGGTCTGCCTTCCCACATCCTCGTCCCCTGTGCAGCCAACCACAGCTCTCCAAACACGCTCCGTATTTCCGCTTTTCAATCCCTTCCTCTCCCTTCAAAACCCCCATAACTTCTGTGCCCCAAGCTTGGCCTACAGTGGTGTAATGAGTCATTTTAGACCAATAACCGCCCCCCCCCCCACCTTGAAGTACAACTTCTGCCGTGGTGATCTGAATTGTAAATAAGGAAACCTGGATGGGGCAAAGCTGGAAAAAAATAATTTTTTTAATGTGAAAGAGCAGTTTGTGAGTTGGTCTTCTTCCCAGTCCAACAATGAACGAATGCTTTCTTATATGTTGAAACTATTTTCTCCTCCTCCTTTCCAACCCTACTATGTTCTCATGCCTCTCAGAGCTGCGGGCGTTTCACACACGAGCAGGACAGAATTCTCCCTGTGCAACTTTATTCCTCCTCCGTGAAGTCTTACCCTTCCCCAGCCTGAACCTGTCCCTTGTGACTCTGGCCTTCTTTTATGGCATTTATCACAACATGACACGTATTATATTGACTTGTATGTGGGCCAGCTTCCCCAACTAGACTGCGAATCCTCTTGGATGGAGGTCATAGCTTATCATTTTTGCAAAAGTCATTTTTCTTCCTCTTTCTTTTTCCTCTCCTTTCCCCACCCCCACCCCAAACACTTATCAGGCACCTGTTATACTCTTGGAACTGTTTTTGGTTTGCTGGGGATGAGTAAGACATTGGCCCTCTCCTTTAGGGTGTTGTAGACTGGAGGCAGAGAAGACAGATGTGCATACCACACTGTTATGACATAGTAAGATGATTCCTACACTGAAGGAATATACAAGAAATAGCGATAGACCAGAGGAAGGAATGAGCAAACCTGCCCGGTGGAAAAGGGTGAAAATACACGTATGTTAGACACCCGTTCTGTGCCAACTCTCAGAAGAGCCCTGTGAGTATTATTTCCTCCATTTGGGTAGGAAACAGAGGATCAGAGACATTAAAGAACTATTCAATGACAAATTTTTAAAGTAATAGGGCGAGTATTTTTATCCAACTATGATAGACTTTAAAGTCACATTCTTTCCACTACACCACTTTACAAAGGAGGGGTGATGTATTAAATCTTGAAAAACCAGGGCACCTGGCTGGTTCAGTCAGTTGAGCACCCGACTTCGGCTCAGGTCGTGATCTCACGGTTTGTAAGCCCGAGCCCCGCATCAAGCTCTCTGCTGTCAGCACAGAGCCTGCTTTGGATTCTCTGCTCCCCTGCCATCCCTCCCCTGCTCCCACTTTCTCTCTCTCTTAAAAACAAATAGACATTAAAAAAATTTTAATCTTGAAAAACAAGTCTTTTGATACCTGGACAAAGAGGGGGAGACCATCGCAGGCAGAGGGAGATTTGGTGTGAATACACAGAGGTGGCAAATATCACTGAATACGTCTGGTAGTCTTGAGTCCAGGATAGGAACTGGAAATGATGGAGGGCCAGTGTGTGAGGCCCAAGTGATGCACGATGTGGCTGGGTTGGTGGACCAAGAGCTAATTCCTGAACAGCCTTTGCTCTATGGTAAGAAGTTTTGATTTTATTCTGTGAGTAATGGAGAACGAGTCAGTGGATGCCATGAAGCAGGGCGCTAACACGATTCCATCTGCATTTAAGATGAGAAATCTAATAGCCATGCAAAGGACACATGAGAAACGAAAGAGCCGGGCACGCACGAAGCCAGAAAGAGATGTCCAGATTCTCCTTTACCGAGTTCCCCCCGGGCCCTTCCAGGGACACGACTCTGCGGGGCACCAGCCCCATGGTATTTTATAGGAATGTTGCTCCCAAAGGCTGTGCATCTGTCCCACTCCACACCAGAGAATTTCTTTCTCCCATATCTTGTCATGCATTTCTATAATTGTACCTAAAAGACTTGTTTGGCGGTTTTTGACATTTGCATGCCTGCCTTCTTTTAATAGACTATGAGCTGCTTATGAGCAGAGAGTAAATCTCATGTCTATTCCCGGCAATTAGCACAGAACCTGGAACACAGCAGGAACTCCATAAAGATTTCTTGAATGAGTAACTGAGTGAATAGAATTCCGTGGCGCTCCGGAGGAGTTGTATGATCATGAGTCAGATGTCCGTGAGCACAGACACGCAGCCACTTATTATGTGTGAAGTTCAACAGACGAATCTCATTGAACCTGTTTCCTCAGCTCCGAAGTAGAAAACAGTGCAACCTAAAGTATGGAATGGCCGCGATAACTGGAAGTAATGTACGCCATGTGCTCGCGTAATTCCGAGTCCTCGCGGCACTTGATCAATGCTGCTGTGTCATCGGGTGCAGCCCTTGGTGGCCGAGCTGCCCACATCCCTCAGACCCTGCCGGGAAACGTGCTCCAGTCCACTTCCAACCTTGGGTATCTGCATTTCTATTTTACGTGTTTCTTTCTAGAACGTCAGGAGACTGCCCTGCCTGTGTTCCGCATGCTAGAAGTGCTGGAACATTCATCACCCACGACTGATGGGAGCCAGCGTACAAATCGTGGGCTCTCTCACCCCGGCCGGGCCCTGTGTCCTGCACTGGTCTTCAGGGCCCCGTGGCTGGGCCATCACGGGGGCGCTGCCTGGAAACTCACTTCTAGAAGCTGCTCTTCTTCCCTGTTACTTCCTTTTACTTCCTTTCACCTCGCTCTTATACCGATGCTCCCCGCACCTTCCAAGCAAGCCACTTGCCTCGTAAATTGTTGCCACACGCCCCTTTGGTGAGATGGAGAGACTTTTCTTTAAATGTCCAATAAGTACTTTGAAAGCAGATGGTCTTGTCACATTTTGAAGAATTTTGAAACAACTTAAAAAAGACATGTCGTTGTATCCATGGCCGAACTCTAATGAGGTTTGTCTCTTTTCCTTGATTACAAAGCAACAGGGGTCACAACCCATATGTTAGCCGTGGATCTCACCTCTGGAGGCTCGATTAGGGAAGTACCTCGGGGTCCGGTTGTAAGAGTCTTGGCCCTCAGTGGCCCTCTAGCTTGGCCCACCGGGGAAGGACTGCGGCATATCTGTATTGCTCTGGGAAGAATCTGGTCCCTGTCCTGTGTCTTCCTCGGGGACGCATTTATAGGGTCAGTCAGCCAGGACGTTATTCGTGTAACCTCTTCTTCTTTGTTTCCCTCTCCCTCCTCACGCCCTCCTCTCCTCCCCATGCTGTTCCAGGTGTGGTTTCAGAACCGAAGAGCCAAATTCCGCAGGAATGAGAGAGCCATGCTGGCCAATAAAAACGCTTCCCTCCTCAAATCCTACTCAGGGGACGTGACTGCCGTGGAACAACCCATTGTACCTCGTCCTGCTCCAAGACCCACCGACTATCTGTCCTGGGGGACGGCCTCTCCGTACAGGTGAATGATTGGCCCGCCCTCCCTTGCTCCGCTTCCATGCGTTTCTCAGCGCTTGGTCACGTGCAAAGCTGCTTGTGCAGCTGGCTGACATTTCTTACTGGGTTAACCTCTTCAGAGACATTCAACTTGCTGACACCCCCAGATTTTCACGGGAGCTTACTAGTTGCCCCAGGAGCAGGGTTTGGGGCAGAAGAGAGAGGGGCAGGCCATCAGCAACCTTCTCTTGGACTCAGGAACTCTTGCAAAGGTTTCAAAGATGGGGAAGAATCTAAAAGAAAAGATTGATAAGCTATGCCCAGAGTCCCTCTTGCAACCACGCAGGAACAAAACTTGACTCCATTTCCAAATTTAAGAGAGATTGGTTTCGCCATGCTCAAGTAGAAATTTAACTTGGAAGGCTGTAAGTGTAGGCTCAAAGGCAAATTTCACAGTAAAACTGGTTTTGAATCCAAACCAGGAAAGGAAGGAAAGAGAAAGGAAGGGAGGAAGGAAGGAGAGAGGTGAGGAAGGAGAATCCACAATCATCCCGATCACCCTCACGGCCACTGTCCTTGTCAGTAGGTGTGGACGTCTCATGATCTAAAATACCTTCCTGTTCTATTGCTAATTCTTATCTACTTATCTGAAGTTCTTTGGGGGTCGGTTTGTGGGTGTGGAGTCTTTAAAATTAAAAAAAAAAACAACAATGTATGATTTACGCTAAACTTTTATATTAAAAAGGTGAAAAGTTTTAAAGAAGCAACTAATAGAGTACTATTTCAATCTCTTGGAGAGGTTTTCAACCTCCTTTTATTATGCTGTTCAGGTTATTATGATACAGGTGAATGCTAGGGGGAAGTTGAGATGTGAGTGCCTGAGACATTGTCATTGATCCCAAGTGTCTTTCTTTGAACCTAAATCTGAGTACTCTTAGAAAACGGGTCAAGGCCGTGTGCTGTCTCTGGCCATTTGCAGTGGAGGAAGTATTCACAAATTCATTTATTGTCCATTTATTGGCCTTTTTATTGCTAAGGTTAATTAGCGGTTTAAGGAGAGGTCTTAAACTAATCATAGGAGATTATCTCCCAGCTAAAGCTGAACTCCTGATGTGAAATGCCACGTTTGCGAAATGTACAAATAATTTTCAAAAGTTGATGGTTTTAATCGAAGCATGAGGCCTCCCCTAAATGTTCTTTCTGTTCCAAATCAGTTCCTTCAAAGAAATGCCATAAATGTATTTGGGATTTTTTTTTTTTTAAATCCCCCATTGTGAAATCAGCCTGAATTACGTTGGTCTTAGAACTCAGAGACCCCTATACATGGGAAATTGGAAATTTCTATCGCTCTCCGATATAGTAAGCCTTGCTGATTGCCAGAGGTTAGTCACATCTGTATGTCTTACTTAAAACGTAGACTCTTTTCCCATAGGATTTACTAAAAACACAGTTTGGAGACCGTTGTCAAAGCACGTGTTCTTTAGTCTTTTAAACAAGGGGAGGACTGCTTTGTCTCTCTGATATATTGGTAGCTCATAGACTCGCTACATGGCTTGGGAAATGGATGTGATTCAAAGCTTGATGTTTCAAGGGCTCTGGTTTGGATTTGGTCACAACCAGGAAATAGTGCTCCTTTTTCTGCCTGGGTCCCCGTTAGGAACTTTTCACCTCAGCTCTGAACAGTGCAGTTGGCTGCTGTGTTATCCTTACCAGTGAGAGTCTAAGGGGACACTGCGCGGGTGGGGATGAAATCCTTCCTGCGTTAATATTGGATTAGATTTCCTGCACCTCAGCGGAAGTTCAAGTTCCTTTGCCTCCATCGTATGTATTTTGTATATGGGCATCTAACTGAAATTATGAACGTGCAGTTTGTGTGTGCCTTTTTGGGAAATGTTCTATTTTTATTTCGAAAGTTTATGGAGAAATAGTAGGTACATTTAAAAAAAACATAATTCTATCATCTTTACATGACGAGTTTGTTTATTTTTGCCATTAGAGCACAGTATTTTATATAGTGTAGCCTTAGTCTACATATTTTTGTATTCTGCTGTTTTCATTTAAAATCTTATAAACTAGTGCTTTTTACTCATTTCATGGTATACTTTTATATAATTTTTCTCTTAGATACAGAATTTGTAAAAAAAAAATAATTAAAAATTGCATAGAATCTGATTGTTCATATTCTGTGTGAAGAATAAATTAATCTCCAGACAGAAGTAGAATGATGGTTTAAAGCAGTAATTTAATCAACCTCAATGTTTTTGACCCAATGTTGACTGAAGTGTTTCTATTTTGATTAATTTCTAACAGTGGCAAAGCTATTCTGTTACTCGGAGGTTTTTCTGCTATGTTCAGAACCAAAATACATTATGGTTTCACATATTGAAGCTTGGTAGGAAACATGTCTTGTTTGGGAAACATAAAAGAGAAACACGTGACGAAAAGCAAAGGCAATGATAGACCTTTTGTGTTATAAAAAAAATGAATGGGCTATTTCTGTTGGCACTATTATGTCAAGTTAGTTATCTCACGTGTGACATTCATTAAAAGGCATTTCTTTCGGTCAATCCTTGGAACGCGCCTGTGTGCGGCTCTGTCCTTGCTTTGGTTCCAAAGAAGAAACTGAACAGTGGCCCAAGTTTAAGGCTTCAGCAAGCAGAACGAGACCCAGTGCTCGTGATCCCTGTTTCGGTCCAACATATTAGGCCACATAACCATATTTTCATTCAAATTAAACCTTATGTTACGTTGGACGTAATAAAAACTAGAAGATCGGGAGACTGTGTGATCATGCCGTTTTGATTCAGGCTCGGTCTCAGATCGGTGCAGCGTGCCCACAGCTGAGAACCACCTTCTGGGGTGTGTGAGCCTCCCCTCGGATGGGGCCTGGGCTTGCAACCCAGGGACAGTGAGCAGCTTGGCCAGGGGGGACGGTTCGCTGACTTCCGCGGCTCTCCCCTGGAAGAAGAGAGGAGGAAACCAAGACTCAAAGCAATTGTTTGCATCTGGGCAGAATTATGGGATGGGAAGCAGCCAACCCTTTTTCTTTCTGGGTGTCTTTTATATCCAGAGTGGCGGCTGTACAATTTATCATCCAAGCTGGGACACTTTTGAGAGTGAAAGGGGACCGCTGTGAATAGTTACACCAGGACAACAGGCGGAACCGGGACATATGGTTCATCCTATTTATAGCACGACACGGCCTTGTCCGTTCCCTTGAGCATATTACAGGTGATGACGTCAGGCAGGCAACTGAGTCACCAGGAGGAGGCAAGCGTTCTCTGACGACACAGACACTACTGTCCCGGCAGGTGTCTTCTTTATCTACTCACAGCCGGTTGAGGGAAGCTTGTTTTTGGCACATGGGCCCGCTGCTTAGCTCAGATCTGTTTTCCGTAGGCGAAGGAGAGCTTGCACCACACCAGAGGTATTAAGACTCACTAGTCTAGTGGTGCTCTGCCTCCTGGGGAGCAGTGATCGACTAAATCCTAGGCTTTTAACTGTTATTTCCTGTGAAGTGGTCAAGAAGCCCCTCCCCGGAGACATCCTCTCCTCTGGGAGGTAGAGAATGGCCTGGATCTGCAGCGCTGGGTCTGTGGTGCCCATTCCAGAGGGGGGGCTGGGCTTCACAGAAAAGTCGCGACAAGCGAAAGAGAGGCCAGCTATCCTTGTCCACGGCTCCCCTCCCCCGCCCTTCTCCTCCTCCCCCATTTGATCGTGGTCACGGTGCTGCCTGACATCCGCTGAACGCATTTGGCTCATTTCTCCCTTTCACGCTTTCAAAAATAGATCCTCGTCCCTCCCAAGATGTTGTTTACACGAGGGGCTTCATAACGGATTCTAACGGAAGACACTGAAAAGGTAACTTGTCAGAGGGGGAAGAGGGTGGCTGCTGCGGGGGCAGGGTTTCAGTGGGAATGAAGCGTGTTCGAGAAAGCGGGGCTTGCAGCTGTAGCAATGGCAGCAGTGAGGTCCTCAAGTGGGGGATACCCCCGGGAAACCAGAGCTGTGAGCATACGTGTCCCTCAAGCTAAGGGTAGTCTGATGGCCTGGAGCAGGGCTCCTTGAAGATCGCTGAGCATGTGAATCACCTGGGAGCGTGTTACAGGGCAGACTCTTTCTGTGAGTCTGGAGCAGGAGTCGGGGTCTGCATCTCTAACGTGCTTCCACGTGGTGCTGATGCTATCGACATCGGGTGTTCGATGACTGCTAGGATATGGAGCAGGGGTCCGAAGAACTGCGTTCTCATCCTGGCTCCTGCTCTTCCCCAGGCCAGTTGGATCATCGGTCCCTCATGCAGCCTTGCATCTAAGGTTGAGCTAGCAACGTTTCCCTACTGCGTATCTGCCAGGGGCATTTGATTTCAGGTAGTCACTGTGCATTTCAAGCAGGAGATAAGAAAGTCCTTGAGACGAGAGAAAGACGCAAGGCTCCAGGTACAAAGACGTGTCTAGAAAGAACATTTAAAAATGGCAGAAGGCTCACAGAACCTTCAGTGCAAACTCCAGGCTCGCTTGCCAATGAACTGTGGTCTAAGTGTACCTACTTTAAGAGCTAAATACGCCCTTAAAAAAAAATCAGCTCCTGAATTTTAAAAACAGAAATTAGAAATGCCTATTTAAATCACGAAAGATGGTTTCCGAAAGGATTTATGGGGTCTCTCTTTATAAGGAAATGTCCACAGGAAAGCTGGTATTGAGTTGTCTTAGACGGAGTAGGTCTACCTCTGTTCTTGCACGGACGAGAGGACAAGCCAGAAAGATGGTCTCCAACCTCCACACCTCGCAGACAGGGTCACACATGCCTCAAGCTCTACAGCCTTTGGAAAAAAACCCAAAGCTGGGGAAACCTTAGGATCTCAGGATGACACATGGGCTTCTTGGGCTGACAGATTTGTCTTTGGGGGGAAATTTTCAACACCTTGTCATCATTTGTCCAAAAGGGCCAAATAGAAAACAAAGTTAGAGTTGAAAATTGAGGCAGGTATTATTCTTCCCCCAGCGCTCCTCAATTGCTTTGTGATCTGTGGGACATAACACCACGGGTGATTCGAAAGCAGAGGGGCAGATGTCCATAAGTTTCCTGGCTTTAAAATCATACCGTATATAGAATTTTCCATGCTTCCTTGGTGTTTGGCAGTCACTCGAACACGTTCCTCCTCCCGACAACCTTTCGGGGTAGGTTGAAATGATCAGAAATGATTTGTCCCCAGTGCAAACAGAACTCGAACCCCGCTGGTGGTTAGCATTCTGCTGTCTGTGGCTGAGCTCCATCTGTTAGGAATCTCCAAATAAGGAGATGGAAAAATTTCAAGCTTGCTTCAATGTGTCAGGTCTGTGCAAGTCCCGGTGCAGATCTGCTGAATCGACAGATGGGATACAAGCATTTCCTTTTCATCTCTAATTCCTCCATGCATTGTATTTGGCAATGCAGTTTCTTGGTCACAGACACAAAGAACATACATTCTTCAAACCTCAATAGAAATGATGCTTCGGCCAAATCCCATAAGCCCAGTCCCTGTACTCAGCTCATGTCTGCATCCTGTTAGAGGAGCAGGTGATTCTTAGAAGGCAGGACCAATGCGCAGGATCTCTCAGGGTTGCTAAGGAGGCTCTTGGAGTTATCATGTGCTTTATCTATACAAATCACTTAGTTTCTGTCTCACTTTCTAATCTCGGGAAGCTTGATCCTGTATAGGAACGAGCAGGTATTTCACCTTTGGAATGTGCCTATAAAATCTGTCGAAAATAGCTAACTATCCTCACTTGTTTCCGTCCTGTGAGAAAACGTTTCAAGGTTCCCTTTTCCTAACACAGAGCTTTATACGTTTTGATGACATGGGAAACAGGTGGTCACAAACAATCTTTCACTTTGGCGGCCATTCAAGGCTCTCTTGCATCTGTTGTCACTTTAGGAAGCGGGTCCCTCCCCAACTTTTCATGCTGTTTTTAAAGTATGACTAAGCTGCTCTAGAGTACCCACTCACTAATTCTGTCTTTTCTGACCTGTCACAAGTCTTGCTTGCCACCGGGGTGTCAAAGGACTGTTCTCTGCTTGCTTCTATGGCTCTCTCAGTGCAAGTTGAGAAACGAGACCCATGTCAAACTACCGGAGGGAACATGGACTTGTAATTCTTTAGTATGTGCACAAAATCTCCCTATGGTCTCTACTTGCAGGATTATATATTCTACACATTGGTTTAGAGGCCATGAAGTAAGACTGCCTCTGTTCTTCTGTCCTATTTCTTAGGGTTATGGAAGGTGCTGGAGTACATTGAATCCATTTTTGAAAGTTAATAATTTTCCTAGACATTTATCAAGTGCAAATGTTATCATTTACTAAGCTCCTAGGGAATGTTAATATCAGCTGCTTTTTTGTCTTCAAGCCCCACTAACTTGAGGGCTACCTACAAGGCATCGTCAGAGTATCGCTAATACAGTGCTGTCCTTAGAGTGGCACCACAGTACAGTCGGACAGGAGTACTTACTCAACTCTAGCAGCTCAGGCTGCCATTTAAGGGAAAATGTCCCAGTGAAAATCCAATTTCCAGTGTGACCAGTGCAACATACAAGTCTAATTTGCATTGATTTGGTTTTGAGATGGAAAGTGGACCAACATTCATCTCATTTGGGATGTTAATATCTGGCCCGCATTAGAGAATCTCAGTATTTCTAAGAGATGTGTTACCATATGAAGTCTTCAAACCAGACTGTCAGATGAAGTTAGTAAACTATGATGCAAGAATGGCAAAAATGACTCTACAGTAGATGAAACTGAAGTCACAACTCTAGTAGACATTTCTAGAAAACAGTAGTAGCATCTTCAGTTAATGAAAATAATCCCCCAAGGTTCCAGTTCCCTTTGTCTGCCAAGGAAAATGGACCACACCTTTGACCATCAAAAAAGGAGGGAATCTCTATTAAATAGGACTTTGCTTGTCTAGAATCTCAAAGGCTGGAAAACAGACTCCTTGGAAAATTAGGTCAAGTGCTTAAAAATGCAATACTCTATGACATTCTACAATTTACCATCAGGGAAGGTTTTTCTTTATGCTGTCTTGTAAAGTTTTAGCCTTCTGTTTTCAGAAGTCTTTCATTTTGACTCTCAGTGTTTAACAAATAATACAGATAACTCACCATTTCAGCTTCTCTCCTGCACATGTTGAATGGTACTAAGAACCGTCTTTAGGACTTAATTCTCTCACAGAAACCCGGTTGATTTGGTTCACTTTATAATCTATAACTTAGGAACATTTCCCTAATTCAATTCTCTTTTCTTCACTATTTACATCTTTGATTTCACTGAAATCTTAGATTTCAGTATATCCTAGCAATTTCTTGAGTGTAAGATTTACAGGTTTGCTTAGATTTCTGGTAGGGTTTTGAATGGAAGCACGTAATTCATATAGGAATTGAATGATATGTGTATGGGTTTCAAAAACAAATGAGAACTTTGGGGATATTACTAAAAAAACCTTGCCCCATTTTAACAGGTTATTCTGATCATTTATCTGACTCCTAAGTGAAAACTACCTTAACTGGGGTCCCTTCTGCCTCATTCGGTAGACAGTGGTAGAGTGATGGTCTGTTGAGTAGGTCTAACCTGCACTGATATTTGTTCATTTTTTAACTATGAAAAGATATTTTTAATGGATCAAGAATATGCAATCATCAGCCCCTGCTTGATCAATGACACTGAGCAGGAATCAGTTTAATTATAGTAGCTATTTCTCAGTTATAAGACACACACACACACACACACACACACACCAGTGCTGTAAGGATTTTAAGGTAAGGATGTGCATTTCTGGAAAAACCTAGTGATCTGGGACTAATTACATTTCATTAACCTAATTTTCCTGGGTTAATTGCTAGTAACTGAAATAGGCTATTGTGAGTCTTGACTATAAGTCTTGACTATACGGTCTCCCAGATGAGTATTCATGATACAGTCTTTCTATTTGTAGAGTAGCTTTACTTTTTCTCTTTCTGGTCTGTCACTTGATCCCCAGAGCCACAAACTCCTGTGTGGCCGATAAAATTGCACTGGAATGCAGGCAACAGCAAAGCACATGTCATTCCATTTATAAGTCTATCTCATTTCAGGCCTCAGTTGAAAAGGATTTTGCTAATCTTAGAAACTAGAAACATTTTCACTTAATTAACATATGAGCTCCCTTTTAACTGTTTAGTACACAGTAATGAATAATTTACATTCAAGGCTAAGAAAGCACTGCTTTTTCCTTTAAAAGAAATTCATGGATGCAATTAGCAAAAAAACAAAAACAAAAACAAAAACAAAAACCCAAGTGCACATTTCTGTCTAGTTGTATTTCTAGGTTTTTAATTACAATCTCTGACAATGTGAAACAACTTCAGGTTTTTCTCCAGAATAAGGACAGAGGGAAATCGTTACCTCTGAGGTCAGGGATCCTGAAACCGGCTGGAGCCTCTGCTGGTGTATCTAGGGGATTTCAACATTTCCCAAATAACTGACCCAGAAGACATCGTGAGCTTCTCACTACTTTTGAGAAGAAGCTATAAAATCAAGCCCAGTCGGGATAAGAAGCTCTTGATTTGGCTGTACTTAGCGCCACTCACCAATCAAGAATGGGCTGCTGAACTGGTTCTCAAGTACACTATTTAATATGGTATTCATTGATTACCTAAAACGTGTTAGAATTAAAGGCCGCTACTCAGAGCAAAGAGGACAAAATGCCCTTTAGTTCCTTTTCAAATGCCTGCTTCTCTGGCTCGCCGCTCCCCCAGGCTGGCGAGGTAAGCAGGAAGAGAGATTCAATACTGTTTCAATTGGTCGGCTGACGAAACACCTGCTATTCAACATAAGCAGCTTTCTTCTCTCACCCCAGAAATAAATGATTACTCACCGTGTCCAACACAGCAGATACCTCTCCCTGCCCTGTTTCACCCTCCCCACTCTCCCCTGCCCTTCCAAACATTTTCCCAAGTGCCTTAGACCAATGAGATCTGGGGCTGTAAGTAAGGGACCTCAGAGGTCATTCATCCGACCCACCTGCCCCCACCTGTCCCGTGCTGAGAATTGCATCCATCTGGGGCACAGACTTGCGGCTTCGTGAAACTAATGCCTGTTATTCTCCCTGCTCTCTCCTTTGTCCCTACAGCGCCATGGCCACTTACTCTGCCACATGTGCCAACAATAGCCCTGCACAGGGCATCAACATGGCCAACAGCATTGCCAACCTGAGACTGAAGGCCAAGGAATATAGTTTACAGAGGAACCAGGTGCCAACAGTCAACTGAGGAAAAAAAAAAATAATTAAGCAGGCCTAAGAAGAAATCAAAAACCATAAGACACCTATCCTGCTCTGTCATTTCTTCATCTGCTGGAAAAAAAAAAAAATCAATAAAAACAAACAAACCAAAAACCTGAACTAAAATATTGGGACCATGGCAGAGAAAAGCAGGAGAGGAGCAAAATGAAAATTAGTTAACCAATGTTTCTCCTCCCTCTGGGATCCCACCACCACTTGTTTCTGTGTGTGTTAATTTTGTTTTTCCTTCTATTCATGCGCTTTGCTTTAATATACTCCAAGCTTCTTCAGTTAGGTTCAGCCCACCCACCCCCATGATTGTATGGGTTTAAAAAAAAAAACCTACAGCAGCCAAAGAAATCGTATATATATTCAGAATCATTGTCTATAGTCTCCTCAGTGACCTGTTTGAACTTCAGTGCCTTACCCTTTTCTTCTTCCCAGTTCTCTGTATAGAAGTTCTAGAAACTTCTGGAAAGCCAAAGTCTTTCTGCAGAATCTGTGCCAGATACGATTTCCTTTCTCGTTGTCTCCATCTCTGTTGGTCACGGTACGGCTTTTCCATCAGCTACTGTTAACCACATCTGGCCACTGGCTTGTCAGATCCAACGCGATTGGCTGTGTCTGGCTAGTTCTAAGCTCTAAGCTGTAGATCTAAGCTCTACTTACTATAAGCTATAGATTTAAGCTCTAAGCTGTAGATGATAATATCACCATCAATATCACCACCACCCCTCACCCCCATCTGAGCAGTCAGCCACATTAAGTTAAAGATATTTGTTGTTTCTGAATGATTTGCTGTCACGGGCTATTTGTTAAAAGAAATATATTTCGCTTGAGAGAGGGAGAGAAATTTCTCTAGGAAAACAGAGACTGAGTTGTGAAAGGCATGGCCTACATCTCTTTAGTGCCTTAAGGGTAGTCAGATGCACACTTATATATATATACTGTATATATTTATATATTTTATATATATATATATATAAAATATTCTTGCAAGCTTGAGTTTGCAAACTCAAACACTACAAAAAGCAAGTTTCACGCCGTCACCACTGTCCTTATCTCTACAGTGATGAGATGTTTTTAGGGATCTTGTTTCCTTTCTTTCTCTACACACAATTCTCATCAAGGCCACAGAGCAACTGATAGGGCATCTGTTTGAGAACAGGTCTCATTTTCACATTTGGGCTTCAAATAAATCAGAACCTATTTGAGGCTCTGACAGTGTTCTTGAGTTTGGAGTCTGAGCTCCGGTGGAATGGGGATAGATCCTGGTACACGTCACGGGAATTACACTCAGAGGATGGAAAGCCATGTACTTTTCCGCTTCTCCACTCGACAGGAATCTGAAAGACCATGTTTAAATGGGATACTTAAAGGCTTGTCTAAGTTCCAGAAATGGAAAAGGCAACTGTGGGCCATTCTTTTTCTAATACAGTATTTTGAAATAAAGTTTAGTGCCTAGGGCTGCGAGCCAGGACTGACCTGTCTTTGTTTCTTTCTTTTTGTCTCCAGCTGTGCTTTGGTAACTTGTCAGGTGGACTAGACCAAACTACACCACCGTGCTGTGCCTCAGTTTACCTTTTTTGTAAAAATGGGTTTAACAATACTTACCTACCTCACAGGGGTGTTGTGAGGCTCCTTTCGTTTGCTCCTTCATTCTTTCCTGTACTTTCTCTTTGTGCAGCACTTTGTAGCCATGGGAGGAAAGAGACTATAAAAGTACACAACGTTAATGGAAAGATATGGTACCTGGAAGCCTTGTTTCCTAGCAAGGAAATGCTACCTTGCTGTAAATACTTACAGCCTCGTATTTGGAAATGAGAAATAGGTTTATACTTCCAGACCTCTCAAAAATCACATCACTTGACCAAAGAATAATGTAAGATGCACAGAACAGACATATTCTCGACCTATTTTTATTCCTGACCAGGTTGGTTCCAGTAATCTTAGTTGTCAGTAATTAAAAAGCTTTAGATTGGCTTTGGCCAAATATGCCAACTCTGAATGACAGGCAAGGACTAAGATGCACTTTCGTCACACACTTGCTACGCCTTCCACCTGGCACCTTGAGTGAATGGTGGTAGTTTTTTCAGCCAAACAGCCACCGATCTGAAAACATATTTTGAATGTTGCTTCTGTACTTCTTTTCACAATGAGAAGGAAGCCCATCTTATGCATTTTGCTTTCACCAACTGATCCCCTCTTCTTTTAATATAACTATTAAACAGATGTTTTATGTAGGCTGGCTGAACACCACATATGACTTGCTTCCTAAAGAGTCCCCCGGTGAAGTCTTCGGTCCCGCTAGCTGCTGTGGATTCTCAAGATTCAAAGGAACGGTGTGGTCCAACAGATTAAAACATTCTTTGTGAAATAAGTACAATCCGAGACATTGGCGAACTCTTGGAGTTTGGACTTTGGGGAGAAGAGCCACAAGTGCGTTTGGGTGATAGTGCAGGGAACAGAAATCACACACGACAAGATGTTGCTGGATGGGGGAGTCTTCGAAGAGGGTGTAAAGGGACAGAAGGTCCTGTGAAACAGTCATTTGAAGCTTTCATCCTGACACCCGTTTTCAGCGGTGCGCAGAAAACCCCAAACCCCAAACCCAAATGCTCTGTGAAACTGGGCAGTTTTACTACTAGAGCCTGGGAAGCGATGTCTGAGAATGTCCGAGATTAACGATGAGAATATCCGAGAATATCCGAGATCAGCCATAGGAGCTTTCATTGATAATGAAAGCATCTGTTATTTAAGCACCTGATCAAGAAGTATACACATGGGACAAGCACTCAGTATTGTTCATTTATTATCGATTTTTTTTAAGGTAGAAGTTGGATATCTGATTTAGAGGAGTAGCCTTTTGGCTCCCAAGCCAGGTCTCAAGAGAGGGCCTCGGGACCACAAAGTCCCCAGGCATACATACCCCTGTTCCTCGCCATCATTATACCCAGGTGCAGATAATACGTACCAACTATCTGTGTCCCCAATCCCTCCCCAAACGAGATGCTGATTTGTAGGATACCTGGCAGGTTAAAATTAACCAGAGAAGGTGATTGAATAAAAAAAAGGGAATGACACTTAGGGTATAAAGATCTCATAAGAAATGTAATATGTAAATTATATCTTGCTTTATGATGTAAAATATACATTGTTTGCGCTAGAATAGAAATGATTCCTTTTCAATAAAAAGAAGAAGGATACTACTGTGTCGTCTTTTGTTACGTACATTTGAGTCTGCTGATTGTTTTCTCTTCGAATTTCAAAAATTGATCTGCTGGGACCTAAGATTACATGCAGGAAAGAGTGAAGGTAAGAGGGATTTGTAGGCGAGAACTTTTATTGGAGTGTGATAGTGTTTCCTCAAAAAGGAAAAGAATCTATTCCTGTAAAGCAAGGACAATGGTAGGAGGGACAGGGGGCCTTTATCGGTATAATGGGTACGTGTAAAGTGAAACTTTTATGGGAGTTCACTTATTTTTTACCCACCACTTTAGCGCCCACAATACCAGCTAACGGATGACAAAACAGACAAAATGCAAAGCACAGACTTTCATTTTAGAGTACAGAAGCAACAGGGCAAAACTTCTTAGGCAGCTGCTTACTGGGTTTCGCGCTGGGGGAATGGGCCTGGGAGGGAACTAGAAAACCAAATTGGGAGACATGGGTTCTGTTTTCATACAAATTAACCATGAACCAAGGTATGCAACAGTTCAAGACAGTAAGCGCCTATGTCAAACAAACAAATAGTGTAGACGGGAGTCCAGGAGAGGGAGAAAAAACAAAACAAAACAGCGAGCTCCAGTGGCTGAGGGTTTCTCGGAGGACCTGGCTTGTTTCATCAACGAGCGCTGAGAGAAGAGGAGATGTTGTTGGCCTTTCAAGCCTGGGAGTAGAGATGGGATGAAGACGGGGACACAGAAAGGAGGAATCTGTGTTCAGGGACCATGGCAAGATGGGCCCAGATGGAACGGAGGGTTTGTTGTGAAGCTGAATGGAAGAAAACTCTGGAGATTGAAACCGAGTCTTCATCTTGCAAAGTATTGTGTGTCAAGGCAGAGGCGTTTGGAATTTTGCTCAGGCCATAGAAATCCACTGGAAGTTATCAATCAGGAAAAAAAAAAAAAAGGAGGTCATGCAAAAAAATACAACTTTAGCAGGATCATTGTGGCCAAAGAGTGAAGCTATTCCAGAGCAGAACAGGAACAAGAAGCAGAAAAACAGCGGGGGTGGGGGGCGGGAAAGAGAGGTTAGAGATACTGGTTTGAAACCCGGGAACCAGGACAATGAATCCCTCGGTGGACAAAACTGACAACACAACCCAAGAGAAAGAGGAGAGACCCAGTGACAGAGGACAATAACTGCAGTTTTAAGCGTGTGACTGAACTTGAAAACCAAAATGTCAGTGTCCAGTAAGTGAAGATATGCAAGTAGGGCTTGAAGGCAAGGTCACGAATGGAGATAGAACTTTGGGATTCATCTCTAAGGAGGTGACACCGTGAGGTACCAGAGCGAATGAGTTCTTCGAGAAGAGAGAGCATCGTCACCGTGCTCAAATCATGCTTCTGATAAATGGCCTTTGGAAGTCTAGAGGATGCTTGTACAACGCGTGTTTGAATTGCGTGGGACCGCTGATACGTGGATTTTTTGATAGTCCAGTGTTGTAAATGTGTTTATTCTTCCTTATGACTTTCTTAACAATGTTTTCCTTTCTCTAGCTGGCTTTATTGTAAAGATACAGCATATAATACATATCCAAAATTTGTGTCAATAGGCTTTTTGTGTTACTGGTCAGGTTTCTGGTCAAGAGTAGGCTATTAGTAGTTAAGTTCTGGGGGAGCCAAAAGTTATACATGGATTTTTTATTGTACCGGGGGTTGGCGCCCCTCACCCTTAGGTTATTCAAAGGCCAACTGTAGTTTCAACCCAGGGAGGAAGCTTATACTTTGCAGAACATCTACAGTTGGAGAGAAGGCTATGGAAGAC